TTTCAGAATTTTCCACAGTTTATTGTGATCCACACAGTCAAAGGCTTTGGCATAGTCAGTAAAGCAGAAATAGATGTTTTTCTGGAACTCTCTTGCTTTTTTGATGATCCAGCGGATGTTGCTAATTTGACCTCTGGTTCCTCTGCCTTTTCTAAATCCATCTTGAACATCTGGAAGTTCACAGTTCACTGAATTGCTGAAGTGTGGCTTGGAGAATTTTGAGCATTACTTTACTAGCGTGTGAGATGAGTGCAATTGTGCAGTAGTTGGAACATTCCTTGGCATTGCCTTTCTTTGGGATTGGAATGAAAACTGACCTTTTCCATTCCTGTGGCCGCTGCTGAGTTTTCCAAAATTGCTGGCATATTGAGTGCAGCACTTTCACAGCATCATCTTTTAGGATTTGAAATAGCTCAACTGGAATTCCATCACCTGCCCTTGCTTTGTTCGTAGTGATGCTTCCTAAGGCCCACTTGACTTCACATTCCAGGATGTCTGGCTCTAGGTGAGTGATCACACCATCGTGATCATCTGGGTTGTGAAGATCTTTTTTGTACAGTTCTTCTGTGTATTCTTGCCTCTCTTCTCAATATATTCTGCTTCTGTTAGGTCCCTACCATTTCTGTCCTTTATTGAGCCCATCTTTGCCTGAAATGTTCCCTTGGTATCTCTAATTTTTTTGAAGAGATCACTCGTCTTTCCCATTCTATTATTGTCCCTTTACTAGTCAATAATACCTTTGAGGGTAGGGACTGTATCTTATTCATCTGTGCATATGCATTAATACCACTGAGTACCAGACCTAAGCCAGATACTGGTTATATTACAGTAAACTGAATAGATGATGCTTTTGTGTAGCTTATATCAGGCATTAAACACACAAATCCACAAATATACAAAATATGATAGTGGAAGGTATTTATAAAGAATAACAGTAAAGCTGAGACCCCAGTGTCAGCGAGGAGAGTGAGGCACACAAAGGCTCTGAGAAACAGGATCACAGGCCAAGCTGGTCGATTGACGGCCCAGCCCCCCGAGGGAGCCAGGGGCGTTTGGAGGAGCAGGGGGCGTTTGGAGCAGGGGGCGTTTGGAGCAGGGGCGTTTGGAGCAGGGGGCGTTTGGAGCAGGGGGCGTTTGGAGCAGGGGCGTTTGCGGAAGATGCCATGAGTGTGGGGTGAGTGGCGCAGGGCTGGGCAGGTCAGCAGGTACCCTGCTGTGGGCTCCTTCTAAGAGCAGTGGGGAGGTGTGAATGGTGCGGTTAGATTTATTTACATTTTAAAAAGACAACTGGCTGCCGTGTGAAGGAATTGGAGAGGCAAGAGTGGGTGAGAGGAAACTGGATAGAACACCCTCATGGTGGAGAGATGCTGAGATAGAGCGGCAGAGTCCAGACAGACTTGAGGGGAAGACTTGCTGAGATTCATATGTGTACAGAGGGGTGCGAGAGAAAAGGAGAAGCAAAGGATGGTCCCCAAGCATCTTCTCTGAGGATCTGTGAACGAGAAAGACTGGAGAAGAAATGCAGAAATGTTTGGTTTAGAACAGTTGTGAATGGGGTTGAGGAAGTGAGGCTAGAAGATGGGTGGGGATGAGTTTATGGGAAGTTTTGAATGTTAGCTTAAGGATTTAGGCATTTTTTCTGGTGGTGACGAAAAGTACTGGCTTAGGAAAATTAGTTTCTTGGCATTTCATTCACTTAAGAGGTTACAGGTGGAGGCCAGCAAGGAGGTTTTTGTGGCGGGGGGATGGTGATGGCTCAAACAGTATGGTGTCAGTGAGCCGGAGGGACAGGAAAGGTCCAGGCTGACTTCCAACCCGAGAGACGGACTGGTGGCACTGCGGACAGAATTGGGACGTTGGGTGCAGTTTCAATGAGAAGAGGAGTCAGACTGAACTCAGCAGAACAGGACTGGACAGGAATCTTCTGTGCACTGGAGACAGTGGGTCACATCCCTCAGTGGGGAGAAGGTTGGGGGTCAGAAGAGTGCCAGGCTGAGGAGCTGACGTGAGGGAGGAGACGTGTCCCCAGGGAGCAGTCAGGTGAGAGTCGGCGACGGTGATGGCGGTGACAATGCTGGAGAGGTTTCTGGTCACCTGAAGAGCTGGAGTAGATGGTGAGCGGACAGATGGCTGAAGTGAAAGCGCCGTCTGTTTAGGAAGTAGGTAGGTGGTGAGGAAATGGAGGCCCTGAAGAGTTAAAAGTCCTTTCAGAAGTTGAATAACAATGAGTGGAGATTAAGGACTGTGTGGATGGGGTTTGGGAGCAGGTTTGTGGGCAGAGATGCAGAAGATGGGGGTGAGGTTTCTGAGGAGGACGGCGGGCATGGAGGACTTGAGAGCCCTCTTCTGAGGCAGGAGGGAGGGCAGCTGGGAGGAGGAGGCAGTTTGGAAAGGCAGACTTGTGGGGAAGGCTGGGGGACGCGTGGGGAAAGGTAGGGGGACGCAGGCGGCCAGCCGCTCCTGGGAACCCCAGAGGAGAGGACAGCCACGGGTCGCAGGCCCTTCTCCCAGGGGCGGTGTCTAGCCAGGGAGGCGGCTTGAGGTGAGAGGCCCGCGGATCTGGTGCGGGTCCGATCGGGCCAGCAGGCCTGGCTCTCGTTCTGGGTTCTGTGGCGGGGGAGTGGTTGCATCCTGGAACAGAGCTGCCAGTGGGATGTGGAGAGTGGATTCAGGACCTAAATGTGCGAGGTCTGGACCGGAAGTTCAGCTTGAGGAAGAGTGTCTGTGGAGCCTGACGTGTGTGGAAGTGAGCCGAAGTGGACACCGTGCCGGGCGCCCAGTGAGGCCGGAGGAGAGTGCCGGGGCCAGGCTGGGAGCCCAGCCGCAGGGCCTGCTTTACTTTACGGTTAGCACCTGTGGGGTGGGCTGTGATTTGGTTTTGTTCTCCTGTTGAGTTTTTTTCACAACTTTCTGCTTGTTTTGGTTGAACCATATAAAATTACTGATCATTTGACTTTTGACCTAGAAGACCGCAGTTTCCTGTGATTCAGTCTGATGCGTACAGAAAATGCGTTTCTTAAGTGAATGTGTCCGTGTAATCAGCCCCCCAGAAGCACCTGCTATGTGCTTCTTTGCAGTCACCGCCTCCCCACAATTGACTTCTGGTATCTTGGAGTAGCTGATGTAAACGAAATCTTAGTGTATACCTCCTTTCACTCAACACTGCATTTGGGACATTCATCCGTGTCCTTAGGCAGAGCCACAGCATGCTCATTCCCATTGCTGTATGATTTCCTCTGTAGGAATACGTTTTGTCAGGCGTGCTGTTGGGCACTTTGGCTGCCCTGGGGGCTGCTGCTTTAAACCATCTGGTCCGTGTCCTTTGGTGGACAGATGTATGGATTTCTGTTAGGTGTAGGCCTTGGAATGGAATTGCTGAGTCAGAGAGGCGAGTGGTCAGCACCCATTGATGGTACCAGTGTCTTCGCTTGTATTGCTTAGTGGATGAATCCCACTCAGTTCTCCAGGCAGAGCAGAGCTCTTCGTGAGAGGGCCCGGGGTGAGTGCTGTGTACTGAGGAGCCAGAAACCCACCTCCGCCTCTGGCTCCTGTCCTCCACACCTATGGCCCAGAAGGGCTTTGGGGAAGAAGAGAAGCTTCGAGTGCTTGGGTGCTGCGGGGAGAAAGCCCCCAAAAGGGTATTCCATCTATAGGGCAAAGCAGAAGTTGTGAGAGCCTTGACCCGCCCTGGTCTTGGTTCTTATGTCACCACTGTCCCCACCACACTGGAAAAGCCTGCAAAGCTGCATTGTTCTCTGACCCTGCTTCTCTGCCGTCCTGAGAGTCAGTGGAAGGTTTGACTGTCTGCAGTCAAGTCCCAGAACTGCCCTGAGATGGACAGACTGCATGTGGGCAGGGTCTGTGGGCGTGAGGTTCCTGAGTGCCGGGCGTGGTCAGAGTCTCGATGCCCTCGTCATTCACAGCCTTCCGTCCCGTCTGGCCAGGAAGGGGCAGAGTGGCTGAGAGTCATCTCAGGAGCCTCTTTCAGCGTTTACTGGGGATGGGACCGGGGGAGGGAGAGGGGCTGCTGGGGGTGAGGGTGCAAACACAGCTCACCGGACTGGCCACCTTTTTAAGAAAGAGGAGGTAGGTTAGGTCCTGGGGGTGGACTGGGCTGGGCCCAGAGCACTGCCAGGCTGGGTTCTCGCACTCCCAGTCCTGCCATCTCAGCCTGCATTTGCTTGGGGCGGCATTGGCACCAGCCAGAGGGCACCGTCTTGCTGGGGGTCCGCCCTGATGCCCTTAGCAACCCTCGCGGCACCGTCTGGTCTCTGCAGCCTTAGGGACACGTGGTGAAGGTACCTGCGGCGGCTTAGAGGCTCTCTAAGCCTAGGCATCTGTTCTGACCTCGGGGGTTTCTTCCGGGTCCGTCCTTGTGCGCCCTGACCAGCTGGTGGCTTGGGGCAGTCCCTCCTCCAGTCCCTCCTTGGAGAGGCCTCTCTGAGCCACACACCTGAGTAAATGTCTGCGTGGAACACGGTGGTCTCCTCACTCGGGGCCAGCAGCCGTGCAGGTGCTTTCCATCCACGCTGAGCCAGGGTCCGCTGACGGAGCTCAGTCTCTGGAGTCTCAGTGCTTGTTCCTTGCTTGTCTGCCTCCCGCAGACCTCTGCCCTGTGCATGAAGGGAGATGATGAAACACCCCACATTTAGGAGAGAGAACAGATCATGTCATTGGGTGGACTAACCGAAGCGAATAGATGCTGGAGGCAGAGAATCTGCAGTGGACGCTGATCTGTGGGTCTGCAGTCTGCTCCCTGAGGCTTCCCTGCTCCGTCTAGCCAGGCCTGGGAGGACTCGGGTAGCCTCCTGCCCACAGGAGAGGACCGTGACCGTCCCTCACGCTCTGCTCCTCTTCGGGCTGGGGGTCGCGGGGCGCGGCTCCTGGCTCCTGATGCCCGGCTCCTTGACTCCCTCGCAGGTGTCAAACAGAAAGGCCCGGCGCTGAGCAGCAGCCTGATGCGCTCGGAGTCCGAGCTGGACAGTGACGATGCCATCTTCACGTGGCCAGACCGGGAGAAGGGCAAGCTCCTGCATGGTCAGAACGGCTCTGTGCCCAATGGGCAGACCCCGCTGAAGGCCCGGAACCCCCGCGAGGAGATCTTGTAGCTGCCTGGTCTGTCTCCTCAGGGTGGGGGTTGGCAGTGCCAGGGTCCAGAGCATCGCCAGGCTGGTTCTCCTACCTCCCGCATTGGAGGGCAGCTGTTCTCCCAGCCTCTGCTGGTCACTCCATCCCCAAACCCTCAACCAGAGCCGCTGCTACTTGAATCCAGAGACATTCTCCAGGAACCCTGAATGAAGCTGTGAACGAAGAGGTTTCCTCTTTAAACCCATCTGGTAGGTCCCTCAAAATGTCCTCACCTCAGGGCCTCCTCTTTTTTGCACCCCTCCCCTGTTCCACGGGTGGACACTGCCGGCTCCTGGCCTCCTCTCCAGCTCCTTGTCGGCAGGACTGCTGCCGCCGGGGCCCCTGCACGCGAGGCCTGACTGCGCCCCCCACCCCGGGGACAAAACCAAGCCCCGCCAGCTCCTGGCCGCAGAAGCCTGCCTTCCCGCCTGTGGGCGTGTTCCTTGTTCTCTGCTTTGGGATGGAGCGTGCCCTCTCTCTCTCCGCCCGGAGGAAGTGGCGCCCCCTCCTCACCCTGCCCGAGTAGGGGAGGGCTGGCTGCTTCTGGAGAGGAGCAGGGCCCAGGCCGCGGGGCTGGTGGGTCGCAGTCGCCAGGCTGGACACAGGCTGCCACCCGTCTTCCTCCTGGCCACCCTGGCTGCTTCCAGAATCAGGTCCAAACTCCCTGTGCCCAGAGGAGACGGCCGCAGACAGCCTGGACTGCCCTGGCATGAGAGGCATGTGTGACTGCCCCCCCGCGGTCTCCGCTGTGTCCGTCTGTCCGAGCGCCTTCTCTCTGTGTCCCTGCACGTGTGTGGTAGAGTGAGTGTGAGCATCAACTCCTCCTCGGGCCCTGGGCTCCTCACAAGGCAACCTTGACCTGGAAAGACTTTGAGCTTGGCGGAACAGAGACCCTCCGAATCCCTCTGGCCCTGTTCCTCGGCCGTGAGGAACTGGTCCCTCCGCTGTGACGTCTGGGTGTTGAGGAGTGGGAGCTTTGGGGACGTGGCTTTTTAAAAAGAAACTTCCGGTTTATACTACTGCACTACAGTCTGTCGTGAGATGATTAAACGTGCTATTTAATTGTACGCCTGCCTGCCGCGTGTGCTGCTGCGCGCTCCGTGGCCGACCTGCGCTCGGGGCCAGCCTCGGTGCCTGTGATGCTTCCGACGGGCCGTCGTGGGCCTGGCATCTGCACGGGTGGTCAGCAGGGCTAGGCCTCTCCCTCGGGGGCGGCCAGGCCCCTTCTGGCCAGCTGCTCCTTTTGTCTTTCAGGACGGGAGTTTTCTGTCATTTGTTCAGCCTTTTGTGAACACAGAATTGATACATATACGCACACAAACCACCCCCCCCCCCCGCCTCCTGCCCGTCTCCACCCCGTGGACCAGCTGGGGACACACAGGGCCCTGACACCCAGCTGGGCCCCTGGCCTTCCCGCTTGGTTTCCAAAGCAGCGGGGCTCGGCCCCTGCCTCCGGACAGGGCCGTGCTGGAGGGACAGCATGGTGAGCTCGGCAGGTGGAAAGAGGCTGCTGTCCAGTCTCAGACTCCTAGGAAAGGGACAGGAGAGAAGGACCAGGGAACTCTTATCTCCCCAAGACCCTGTGCACACGTGAGGGTATCGGTGACACCAGCTGAGGGTACTGGTTCTGTTTTTACAGAAGCAGAAACGAGGCATCTGAGAAGTAACTCAGTCCACACACTATCCACAAATGAATTAGAGTTGAGGCCCAGCAGAGCCCGTGCTTGGTCTAGAGCAGAATCACCCTTTAAAATCGGGTGGCTGGGCCCCACCACTGCGTTTCTGACCGAGTGGGATTGGGGTGAAACAAGAATCTGCCTTTCTAACACGATCCCAGAGTGCGCCGCTGCTGGTCTGGGGACCGCACTTGGACAACCACTGGTCTAGAATCGCACGCTCTGTGGCAGGAAGAGCGGGCGGCAGCTGACCTGAGCGAGGGTGAAGGAAGCTCGGAGGAGTGGGTGCTTGAGTCTGCGGGGGGCGCTGGGGCTGGGGTGTGCAGAGCCGACTGCTCAGGAGCTGCTGGTGGGCGGGCGGTCAGGACTTGCTGAGGATGTTGTATTAGGAGAGCTTTGAAGGATTCACCAAGGAGCTACAGGACTTGATAACTTACTGGTTTTTTCTGGTTTTCTTTGGGCCTCCTTGCTACATCTTATTTATTTCACCCATGGCTCATTGAAGGATGTATCTTTATCTCTGTTTCAGAGATTAAAAAAAATAATTTTTCATCCCCTGTTCCTCCCACCAAAAAAAGGAACAAAACTCAGAAACCAGTGCCTCTTTCCTGGCTTGGGGTCTTGCACTGAGAAGATTGCCATGCCCCTGTTCTGACCTGACTCAAGAAAGAGGCAGAAATCCTCGGGCTGGCTTAGGGAGCGCTAGGCTACTTCCACATAACCCTGTCACCCCAAAGAAACCCTTCAGAAATAACTGAATTTCAGGAGCCTGGTAGCCCCTGCCTTGACCAAACTAAATACTCCTCCACCCTCAGAAACCTTCAGCTTAAATTTTCTGTTCAGAATGGCCAGAAGGGAGGCCGGTAGAGCGCATCCTCGCGTTTCTCAAAGCGCGCAGGTGCTGTGTGTGGACAGTGCTTAGTCGCCAGGAACACCCCGCCAGACTGGAAGGCTGTGGCGCTGGCCTGCCTTCTAGGGAAGGAAAGTGGGGAGACTCTGGTTCTTCCAGCTTCCCTTCAGCCCATCTGCTCAAGAAAGGAGCCGGAACAGGTGGTCACACACACAGAGTTGCTCTCTGAAGACAAATAGGTCTGGAAAGAAGTTGTATGCCGTCAAGAGCCATGAGTCTTTGGGAAGGAAGGTTTGGGGAGCCTGGCTCAGGCCCGTGACGCCTTTGTGGAATTTGTGTTGAGGTTCAAGGATCCCTGTTTAGCCTCTGGTCAAAGCCATGCCACCACTGTAACCCCTTTCACCTACGTCACCCCCCAGTCTGTGGTTGGTGCTGATGGTGGCTGCTTAATAGCCAGCATCTCCAGTACCAGGGCTGGGGCTGTCCACGCTCAGGCCTCCCACAGAGGCCCAATGGGGTGTGAGCCTCTGTGTCCGAGCGCTGCCAAACAGGTGAAGCCCCCTCTTCCCTCCGTCCTGGGGGGCTCTCTGAGTTGTCGGGTTTGACACTGGAGGTTAACTGATCAGGCCTTTTCGGCCACAAGGAACAAAACTAAAGTTACCTTTTCTGGGGAGGCCAGCCTTCTGCCCAGTTCTCAGCACAGATAGGAAACTCTGGCTGGCAAGTCACGGCTGTGCCCTGGTCTAACCTTCCGAGCTACACTCTGGGTCCCCCTCATCCCCACACGTCTGACAGTCATGTTCCTCTGTATCCACACGAGTGGTTCTCACTGGCTGCACATGAGAATAACCTGGGCAGCTTCTAAAACATACTGATGCCTGGAACCCACACCTCACAAGCAACTGTGATTTAATTGATCTTTTATTAATTCTTCAGATAATTTGTGCATCCATACCGTACCCTTGACAAGGGGGCAAACAGCCCTTAGCAGCTCAGCTCTAAGAGCTTTGCAAACCAGTTGGATTTGGTGACAAAGAAGTACCTAGACACCCAGCTCCTCTTCATCACCTCAGGGAGAAGCCCTTCAAGTGGTGTGTGGCAGAGGTCAGCAGTTTGCCAAACCAGAGTCCTTCTCTGCGACACACAGCTCGGTCCATCTCCAGCCTTCTGCACAACGTGGGCAGAAGGGAGGAGCTCCGTCTTCCACCCTGACCCATTAGAAACTTCTCTGTGAACCTCACTCCCTCCCTCCACCTGCCGGCCGGACGCAGAGGAGCCCTTGGGGGGACTGCAGCCAAGTAGAGGCATCCACGGTGGAGGCAGCCGGTTGCTGAACCGCTGTCTAGCAGATAGCTGCTCTACCAGGGTGGACATTGGAGCGTGTTGAGAGAAATGAACTGTGTTGTGCTAGCCAAAGCATTTTTTAAGAAAGTAATGGCTGGTGTTAAGATTGTGGCCTGGGCTCTCTGTGACAGGCCTCCCCGGGCCGGGGGAAGCCACCAGGGTGGACAAAGACGCCTCAGCTCGGGGCTCCGCGGCAGCCTCGTGGGCTGCAGGGGGGCAGCGGCAGAGAGCTAAGGCCTGCCAGTCTTGGCCACACACTTCCAGGTCACATGCTCTGGCTTTTGTTTGCTTGTTTTCTGAAGAGCAGACACTGATAATTCAGGTCCTCCCTTAGGGTAAGGGCGACATGCTTGGGGATCCGGAGTCAGAGGTGTGATTGCCTGTAGTGTGTAGGCTGGGAATTTGGGGGCATGGAGAGGAATAATCAGTAGCAGCCTGAAACTTAAACATCTGGATCTGTATGTGGGGGAACTTACAACCTGACTGTTGACAAGCGGTATCTCAGTTGTTACCATATCTTGTAGCCCAGAAAATGGAAGAGATTTTTCAAACACTTATTTCTGTGATCAAAGAAAAACAAAAAAAAAACTTAAAAGCCAGGACAAATTCAGTGCAAAAAGTATTTAATTCAAACTTTGTGCTGGAAATGACTACAGCACTTTACTATTCAACTGGAAATATGGTCACATGGAGGAAAGTTGTTATCTTTATAATCTGCAGGTAACCACTCACACCCTGAATCTCTGAAGGAGTCCAATACCTGTAAGAAAAACAATGTCAGTATATACTTGGAATCAGACCTGGGCTCCCAGTTTGAACTGTAGAGCCCAAAATGGGGAATCAAATCATGGGGATACCTGAGTCACATGATTTTCTTGGCATTTATTCGTTGGCTACAGAAATTAAAGCATGAAAGCAGATTAAAGTGCCATCCCATTAGAGCAGTTTACGCTTTTCCCCAGGCAATGCGTCCAGCCTTCAAGTAGGTCCCAGCAGCCTAGCATCTCTCTCCCTCTAAAACCTGGGGTTACATCAGGGCCTGCAGGGACCCATGTACCTCTTACACTGTACACCATTGAGCCATCTGTCTCCTACCCGCTTAGAAGTTGCTGAGGCTGTGGGGCCATCTTATGTGGGGTTTTTTTCATTTATTTTTATTAGTTGGAGGCTAATTACTTTACAATATTGTATTGGTTTTTGTCATACATTGACATGAATCAGCCATGGATTTAACATTATGTTTTATAACACTGTTCGCGTGCTGATTCCGTTACATGGAGACAGAACACAAGTCTCCATCACCTGTGCCTCAGACCGAGTCCCTGTCTCCCTGTCACCCTGCCCGTGATCTGCATGTGCTTGTCAGCGACGAACGCCAACGACAGGCAGCCATGGAGAAATCACAGCACTGCTCTATTCCTGCCACAGCTCCCAAATCCCAAGCTGTCTCTACCAAAAGCAGGAATCACTTTTAAACATGGTTCTCTTTGGAACTATTAAATACCATATTCTTATTTGGAAAAGCAGTGTCAGCTTTAGCATTCCAGAAGCCCCCGTGTCATCTTCCTGTCATATCTCTAGTTCCTAGCACAGTGGCTGGTTTGCCCTTGAAAGTGTTACCTGTGACGAACACAGAGATTAGCACAGACTGACTGAGCCAGGGACGTGGAAGGGGTGGCTTCTCAAAATGCCAGCTGAGAGGGGAGAAGGATCTAGTCACTGCTGAGGTGAGCTGACACTCCAAGGGAATCTGGCCTAGTTCTCAAGTAGTATTACTTGGGGGAAAGAATAAAAACATGGAATTAAAATACTGAACAATGAATGACATTTAAGATATGGGTAGGGTGGTAACTGAAACGAAAGTAATCTAAGGTCCTTTCATAGAAGGACAGTAAAAATGCCAATTAACTTTAAAGTTTAAGTCAGCTGTTCATGTTAAAAATACTGAGAAAGCCACTAAGAATTCAGAACTAGAATATGTAACATCTAAACAAGAGGCAAGGAAAAACATACACACACACTTCAATCAACCAAGCAGAAAGCAAGAATACAGGCAGAACTACAGCATTAAAAGATCTGATCATTTAATACGCAGAAGTCAGATTGGATGTTAAAAGAATCACCACTACCACCTCCAGACAAAAGTTAACAGATTGGATATAACTGTTAAACTATATTCAAAAAAGACACCTAAAAT